AAGACCCATGGACCACAGGTCACGCGCCCATACCGGTCAATGCACGCATACCCATAGGCTCTGGGTATGCGTGCATTCATGCGTGCCACCACATTGGTGGAAAAGAGAAATGACGAAAAACCATAGAATTCGAACAACTTAGAGAACCATAGAACTGGGAAGCTCGGAAAATTTCCGACGGAAACACGTTCCGTACTACGGAATCCGTAGGCAGTTTCAAACTGCCGCAGTTTGCACCGCGACAGTGTAATATCCTGGCAAAAAAAGAGCAAATCAACAACTTTCCGACACTCCCAGAGCGAGCGGTCGACTGCCGGTGGCAGTCTGCCACACCATCACACGTTAATCAGCAACTTTCAGGATAAAGGTGGGAAGGACGTCCCGAAATCACCCACACTTGCGTGGAACGCCCTTTTTTCAATACTAGTGGGCCACTAGCAGTGGCTCCCTAGTGTCACTTCTTCCTGTAGCAATATTCATCGGTACCTCACGAGTTGTCTTGCGTCGTTCTTTGCAATGCGCATAAACATTCGAGGAGTGGGCCGTTTGTGGCTTCCGTACGTTCCCTCTCCGGACTCGCGCGTGGATTGGCGAAGAATGGAAAACTGGCGGAGCCGCGGATCGAACCCACGACCTCGCCCGAAAATTCCGGAAATTTCGACCACTTCTATTTTTCCCGAAATTTCGGGAAATTTCCGCTTGAAAGAATTTTTTCTTTCCAGCCCGAACAACCCTGGACTAGACTCTTGCACTCTTGCTATTCCTCTATAAAGAACAAGTAAAGATTTCTCTACAACCGACGACTCGGAATAGCGGTGAAGTGTCAGGTCGATTTTCCCGAACATGAGCGACATAAGGACTGTAGGAATATCATTTTGTAGTATTCTCGGCTGAAGATCCTTCCTTAAGGTTCTCGGTGTATTTTGCCATATTTCTGACACTCTCGAAAACCATACTATTCAATACGGCATATCGCTTATATGTCAATCCGCGTTCGCGGGTTCGTTCATTCCATTTGCAAACGTGCAGAATGTGCTGGCCTCGGCTATGGATACGGGTTACTTAGTGTGATGGTACGAGGCTATTTTTTCTCTTTTTCTTCAACCAGGGTCCACCGAGAGATAGCTGTTCACATTGGATCTGTTCAGCGTTAGGAGGCCAGTCAGGAGGGGTCGGCCGCATCTAGGATCTCCACCGTATCGATAATCAGCTACGCGTTGCGTTCTATTGGCAGGGCAGATATCGAAAGTGAAAGTTATTGTGAATTTTGTGGTGCTTGAGAAGTTCATTATTCATTAACTCCTAAGCCGAGCTCGAGTGTTTCCTCACTAATTACAAAAGTTTACACACAAAATCGGGAAGAAGTGTACAGAAACCATTTAGGAATTTCCCAAAATTTCCTCAGAATTTTAATATCGTCACTAGCACATGTAGTTGAGCATGCGCATATTTTCGATAAGAAATGATAAGAATTCAGTTGAAATGTACTCTCATCTACTCCTTCTCATTCAACGACATTGCTGATGGTATTCACCCGTTTACGAGAGAAAATAGGAGATTATAAGAGATGGGCATTAGGGCAGGAACGGCTGAAACAAAAGCAGGCTCAACTCGATACTGTTATGAAGGAATGTAATAATGCTGGAAAGGGACGTGAGGATGTTGGGAATAGTCTCGAAAGGCAGTTGCTTGCTATGCTGCACTGTTAACACAGCAGTTGAGAAGAGAGTAAACTCGAAAGGTCATCAGCTATGAAGTATTGAGTACTGTTGTATTTAATTTCTATAAAGGAGAACTATTGTACAGTAGAGGGGTACTCAGTATTGCAGAACTTATAGTATGGCGACATAGACTATGGCGTTACACACGATCGCAGATATATGGGTTGTAAGGCAATTGCGTGGATTATTGTGGTTTATTCGACTTGAATGTAAATTTCCCGGTCTAGAGGATCGACATGTCAGGTGGGCGTAGCTGTGGACCAGAGGCAGCCCGCGAAGTGGTCCAAGCAGTATGTCGAGCATACAACAAGAATGTGTGTCCTGACTACACAGATGATGAGATCATCACGGCTAGGGAGAAATGGGCTGAAATACTACATACTATGCATAGACACGGCAAGTTCTCCACGGGGAATGACGTCCAGGTGGGCTTGAGGGTAGATTGCTTCTTGGAAGGCACGGTTGATCATAGTTGAAAATCATCCACTCTGCGTTTCCCGACTGATGTGACGGCCATATAGCGCAAGTGACCATAGGTTGATTCATTCTGTAGCTCAGTGGTTCCGTATTTCTTATAGAAATATATCCTATAATTGGCTTTCACATGGAGTGTGGAACAATCGTAAACGATCATGTAGTTAATTTCCACATGGAATGTGAAATAATCGTCAACGATTATGTAATTAATTTTCACATGGAATGTGGAACAATCCTAAACGATTTTGTAATTAATTTTCACATGGAATGTGAAGTAATCGTAAACGATTATGTAGTCAATTTTCACATGGAATGTGAAATAATCCTAAACGATTATGTAATTAATTTTCACATGGAATTTGAAACACTCGTGAACGATTATGTGATTGATTTTGAATCACATAATGATTCACATAATAAAGAGGATTTGCATTTGTTAGATACTGGAAGGTGGGGACGTCTGTTTTCCCATCATGTTGGATGCGATTGATTCGGCGAAGGACCGTGTGTGGATGGAGAGTTATATCTTCGATGGCTCCGCTGTTGCTGAGAAGTTCTATCAGGCTTTGATCAGAGCTAAGCAGCGAGGGGTTGATGTGGTGAGTTTACGGTATGCTCATTTTTAATGAAATCTTCGCTGTGCGCTAATGTTAGATTCTCATCTTGGATGCTTGTGGAGGTAGCGCATTTCGAAAGGAGTGGCTAGAGGGCCTCAGGTAAGCGAATTTCGTGGCACGTGACGGAGAGGCAGAGGTGGTTGATACAGGTCCATCGGTGTGCCTGTTGTAGTGTTTAACCCGATGCTGCCATTCCTGACGGATACAATTGGACCGCCGTGCTTTCGAGATCATCGCAAGATATTAGTCGCTGATTCAGTAATAGACGAAACTGACTTTCCAGTTGGGTAGTTGTGGTTAATCGTTTGCGTATTACTACAATGGAGTTTCACTCTAGTGATATGGAACACTACTGAAAAACATATTTCACGACCACTGCATATCACCGCGAATATCGAGTTTTACACCACTTGACGTAAAACGTGTGAAACTAGTGCGGCACTTGTCTCGTTTAGATTGGTTTCTGTGGGTCAATGAATATCCACCAGGAAACCTGCAGTTCTAAGATGGGTGGTGATGGTCATTTTTATGATGTCCATTCTCGCATGAGAGGACCCTGTGTAAAAGATCTTGCTGATGTAATAGGAATAATTTCGTGGCGAGTGACGGAATTTCTTCAGGTTATCATCTCCAGCTTGAAAGAGTCCGGTTCGGACATAACACGCGAGCCCATTCCCGACATCCCAGCAGTCGCTGAGCCGGGCATGTACGTCCAGGTAAAGAGTATCCGAGGTTCCACAGTGGAAGATACGGAATAGGTCCGATTGGGTGTAGGTCCTTAATAGTTGTGTGAGGAGACAAGACTATGGACTGCAACGGTCGCTACAACTGTTGTTAAAGAGTGCTGATGAGAGCGTTATCATTGCTTCAGCGTATTTCACTCCTCCAGGTTTTCTCCGCCGGACACTTCTTGGTGGGTAGAAATGTCGCTGCTGGGAATCGAACCGGCGGCCTCCTCCTCAGATACCATTACTCGGCGTAAAGTGAAGACATCTCTTCTCGTGTCTGGCAATTCTGATTTCTGGCCCTTACCCGGGGACCTCATGGCTCAGACCCACGCTGTGCGCCAGTTCGTGGGGCTACCGGAGTGTGAAGTTTCAATGTAGGTGGGGGGGTCGCTGTATGTGGATGGGAACCAGTCGAATGTGGAGGGCTGTAAAGTATGAATATTTAAAGTTTCGAATTTTTTCTCAAACTTAGTCGTTTTACTTTTGAGTGGAAGATTTGAAATTTTAATGACATTGACTAAAGTCGAATTGTTTTCGCAAGACAATTATTCAGAAATGTTTAGTGGAGTATTAGTAGAGTAATTAAGGAACTCGGAAATCGATTTTGGGGATTTTTATTCGTTACGCTTTAGAAAGGTAGTAAATTGTAGCAAGCCTGTGCTCATTGCCACATCCATCCGTAGTCATGGTGTCCCATTGTATACTACAGAGCTGTACATCTCTGTCGGGGCGCGCGCGATTAGTGATATGTAGCTGCTGTGATAGCTATCGCTTATTTAGAAATGTACAACTCTGAGGGTTAGAGGCCTTTCAGTGAGGTTTCAGTTTTCCAATGGAGTTGCAGTTGCGTCTGCGTGCAGGTACGCCACGCAGCATATGCATGCGAAGTACTCTTCGTTCGATGGAGTGTATTCCTTTCTGGGGTCCAATAATTTCGATCGTTATTCCACACGGAGGAATCTGGAGTGCAGCATAGGAGTGATGGACCGAGGCTTCGCTGAGGGTATCAGGTCGATTCATGAGGATAAGAAACATAAAGGCTTCAAGCCATCCTTGGACGATTGGTAGTTGGGGAAAAATGGTGTAGCGGATAAACGTACTGTCTGATTATCGTGAGGGTGTGGGT